AAAACGACAGCCTTCAGTTTGACAGGTGATTATTTAACAGGGAAAGCTTGTTAGCTTCTTGTTAGCATTAGCCTTCGATTCTGTACAGAGTTTAGGCTACAGCAGCGGAACAAATGTCTGTTTTATCTCCATTTGTCTTTATCTTATCATACCTGTTCTGCAGCAGCGTGCAACCAGGGCTCAGTAAACTCTTGCTCAGTATTAAACTATTTGAAGGACGTCCTCCCAGCCTGGAGAGCGACCTCAACATCGTCGCCGCCATCTTGGCTGTTAAACAACCGGCCTGGTTCTTCTTCTGAGGCTCCAACAAGAAGTTAAGAGTTGTTACCGCCACCTGTTGGCCTTAATATGAATAACTGAATGAATGAAAAGGAATTTAGTTCAGACAATTTTTGACAAACAACAAGAAATAAATCAACCAATTACAAACAAAAGCGACTAGTTGACATCAACCAAATCAAACACCAATTTCCAAACAACTAAATTGACCTGAACATATATAAAAACAAAACCCTCCACCAAATAAAATTGTCGAAATACACCAGAAAAATTACATTGATTAATGTAAATTGTCTGAAAAGCATAGGCATAGGGTTGCATAGGGACGATAGGGACATTTCCCTACCAAAATTTTGGATCGACCTACTTGTTCATACCAATAATTCGATGTAAACAACATGTTTATAATTTACTCTACAGCGCATAATGCATAATGAGCAATTTAAACAGTCAGACAGTAAGCATGATAAAAGGTTGTGTTAATTTAATCCTTTAATATTAAAAACGCACTTGTTTAATAGAAACATTATATGATTGTAGGAAACCCAGATATAATGATGCAGGGCAGCCTCAGGGTGAAGCAGATGCCCTTCAGTGCTGTATTATGGTTGGAATGTTACCTTAAAATTAGGGAAGCAACTATTGATTATTTTGCAAATTTATTAATCTGTCGAGTATTTTTTCAATGAATCGATGAATATTCACATAGCCAAAGGTTCCTTAAAGAAGATTTTTTTATTAAATGAAAGCAGGTGAAACAGAAACTTTTCGTCTTGAGGAGTTCTGGATAGAGAATATTGACAGAGAAAAAAATGTTTTTTTATCTTAAATGCAAAATGTTTACATTTTTTTTTACAATCTTGGTATAATTCCTGCTCTAAGCGGGTCGCTCTGTCGGCTAAAGGCACATTTTAGTGGCCCTATACTCTGATTAAGGATTAATCAATTACTAAATTAGTTGAGGATTATTTAAATAATCGGTTAATATGATTAATTGTTTCAGCCCTAGATAAAATACATGAAATGGGCTACACAAAGTAATTACAGCCCAGATGTACAACTTTTATAGTGAAGTTAATATTTTAAATGCTCAGTGTCAGTTCCTCTTATAGTTCCAGTGCTCATGTAAATACAATACTTTATTTTCCGTCCCTTGAATGTATTATTTTGCATGATACAGAAAGAGCATATTAGATAAAAAATAAGAGTGAGGTTTACCTCTGCATGATTCTATATCTTCAAAACAAAACACAGGATAAATCCACATATAACAGACATTTTTAGACTATATTTGGATAAATAGGCCCTGTCTTAGTCACTGGTAAGTTTAAATGCAAACCTTTTCAAAGTGGAAAAAAAGTCCTAATTCCAGATTCATCAGAGCCAGTGATGCTTTAAACATTGATAAACAGCATCTAGTGCTTATAAGATTTGTATTAATGCTGTATTAATGTAGCCATAAATGCTGCTGTTCTCTTTAAACAAAATGTGCCCTTATGCTCACATTAAGCATAAAAACAGAGCATGCATATTTTCATAGGACCAATGACATCAGACCAATGAAACTGAAGACCAATAGTGTCCCTCCCAAAGTTGAAATCAAACCTACGCCCTTGCCTCCTGCATCTACAAAGACCTTACTGTCTAGGATTGGGTGAGATGCTATTTCATTTATATTTCTGTTGTTGAAAAAAAAAAATGGGGAAAAAAACATGAAACGGAGAATGGGAAAGATTGGGTAAGAAGTGACTTGGCAGTGCAGTGAATGGTGGCTGTTAGAAGGAGGATGCTGGGCTTGGTAAAATAAAGTGGTAAAGTCCACTTAAAGTTAAAGTGAATGTGGGATTGTTATTCAATTTTGGTATAGGGAATTTATTTATAGATTCCTGATGGTTTTCTAGCACTTCTACACATTCCTGAAGGAAAAGAAGGCTTGACTAGGAGACGTCCTAGCTGTGATAATGAAGGATCCAATAAGTGCTCGCTTTCCTCCTCCTGTTGACCCCATATGCAGCTGCATGTTGAAGAAATTTGGTTCAAATTGTTAACAAATGAATGAATGCTTATGGCTTTCCAGAGGGAGGCTCCAGATTTAAGAAAGAGGGGGAAAAAACTAGAATATCTAGAAAAAAAATATGTAAAGAAAGCATATTATGATTAAAAAAATGAGAGAGTATGATTATGAGTTAAAAAAAAGAGACTAAAAAAAAAAGCTTGAAAACTACAGATGGAGTGTTTATGACTTTTGGAAATTTAAATGAAGTGTAGGGAGAGATATAAGTGAGTCTGCTGCAGGTAGATTGGACAATTCGCAGTTACACAGTGACAGGTTCGGTCCACCTCCATATTGCACAGGTGATGCTTTGGCACTTCATACCTCTACCAGGTGTTTTTTTCCCCATGCTGATCCAATTCACCTCCTCTGGGACCTGCAGTTCTCCTCAAAGCCAGGAGGTGGCAGCAGTGATCCTATCATGAGAAATGTCCTACTTTTACCTTTTAAAGCTAGTATATCCCTTTCACTACAATGTACAGTTGTTTGAAATAGTTTTTTAAGTATACAGTATATAGTATATATGTATTGTCATGAACAGAGACAGATGGACCCAGTATTCAAGGAGAGACAGTCAGTAGGAAAGTTCAAACGTTTATTAAATAAAACAAAAGCGGAAGCGGAGCTGTGGCTCGCGGACACTGCAGGCGGGGGGGCGGGGGACAGCCCAATCTCAGACACTCTAGGGAGGAAACACAGATAAGTGACCACGATAAACTGATATTTGATTATCTGTGTTGGTCACTTACCTGGTTTAACAGTCCAGACCACGAGTGTCCCCAGTGCTGCAGTCCCAGAGGTCATGCTGGAAGCCAATCTTGGTGAGGGATCCAGAACAGACAGGAACAGCCAGAAACAGGCAGGATCCAGATCAGGCAGGAACAGAAACAGGTGACAGGATCCAGACTCCAGGCATCCACAGGCTTCCAGGAGGGTTCAGAGTCTGACTGGGATCAGAAGCATGACCAGGTGGTCACGCACAGGAGCAGACATGATCAGGTGTAGACAGGCAGGCACAGTGGAAGAGGGTAGCCGAGACAGGACGTAGGAACTGGAACTTGAAGCAGGACTTTAAACTGGTCTCCTCCCTAGAGCCAGGCTTACTGGATAAAAACTGAACCTCCCCCCATAATGAGCCAAAAATCCAGAGGACTCCGTGGGGGAGGAACAGTGGACGATCAGGAAATGAGACAAACACTGAAACCCTCTTTCCACTGGCAGCTGGGATCCATGACATGAACCAAGGAAATAAAATTAACAGGACAGGCTGACAGAAAGACAGGTAATGATCTGGCACTGAATGCTCAGCCTGAACTGAATATAAACTAGAGGAAACAGGTGAGGGGAATAAATTATAATTGAGGCAGGGAGGGAAAAACGACAGGTGAAAGGAATGACAAATTAAGGGTGAGCAAACAGGCCAGATCATGACATATATATATGTCATGATCTGGTAGTATATATGATAGTATATCATATATACTATATACATTATATATATATATGGTATCTGATGACAAGCAGCTTATTTCCACATTCAGCAATGATATGATGGTGCCTGTAAGGGAAAGGACTCGGCCACATGGAAGTCATTACATCTTCAAGGACTATACAAGTAAACTGAGAACCAAAACTGAACAACTAGATCTGCAAAGTGATCTATAAAGAAGTTGGACACATTTGGAAGAAAATTATTGTTTTTTGTTATTAGTCATGTCAAGACATCCTTAATGAACAAGAAAAGAAGAAAAGACCAGAAAGAAACAGAGGTACTGCAGACTAAAAAGTGGGACAATTAGTTAATAGGCTCAGCATTTTCTTTTATCCTGGTCAGTAAAAGTAAAGCATGTTCTAATTAATCTGTCGTGAAAGAGATTCTGAGTTATGCTCCACTGAAAAAGGTTTATTGTCATGTCTTTGATGTGAATCTTTTAACTAAACATAAAAACAATTGAATTTCATTCATATATATTTATCTATCACAAAGGGAGATTAAATGTTGTCTTAATATAGTATTTTAATCAAGGAGTGGTTGAAGATAAGGAAAGCTTTTGGAAGTAAGGATCTATTGCAGCAGATCTGAGGGAGCATTTGACTGAAGACACTCTGTTGTTGTTTAACTGTGTTCTTAAGGAGAATAATCACTGTTTTCCATAATGTTCTTCATTTAATGAAGATTTATATTTGTCTGCAATCATCTCCAGAGGTTCTAGAGGAGTTCTAGAACAGAGCTCTCCTTCTTTATCAGGTTAAGGTTCCTCATTTGTTCTTATGCTGTTTACCCGGATGATGACAGTAAAGATCACACTGTCTGCAACAGACTTATAGACAATCTGCAGCATCTTTCTGCAAACACTGAGGGACCGAAACTTTCTAAAGACGTAAAATCTGCTCTGTTCCTTCTCATAGAGGACTTCACAGTTCCCAGTCAATTCTGTTCTCCAAGTGAACACCAAGATATTTATATTCCTACGCCACCTCTATTGTTCTCCAATGATTTTAAAAGAATTTTATTTTTTTTGTTTCTTCTGAAATCTACCTTCATCTCCTTTGGTTCGTTTACTTTCAGGATTAAAGAGTAAATTATCCTCCAACAGAATAACTTAACATCCAGCAATCAATATCTTCATTTCAAGGATAGCCATATTAAATATTTTACATATGTTTTTAACATTTTTTTTTGTTCAGTTTCATCGTAGGTTTTTAGTAATGCAACAAACATAAGCTTTTACCCAGGTACCTGCTTTTAACTTCTTACGCTTGAATAAACAGAATTGTTCAGAATTGAAATGTAATGTTTAATATTAATAACTGAACTTTATTGATCTCACTTTGGAGAAATTTACCTCTGCATTTATCCCTTCCTCAAGGAGATGGGATAAATGCAGAGGTAATTTTTTCAGAGCAGTGTGAGGTTAAGGGTCTTGTTCAGAGACCTAGAGTGTCAGTCTGCGGGAGTGGGGCTCAAACTCAGAACCTCAGGATTCTAAGCTCTATGCCAAATATTAGTAGTTATTTCACAAACTTTAAAAATGGCTAACCGAGCTTGTAGAAAACAAAACAGCTGGAAAGTGTGTCCATATCGGTATTTTGCAAAGGACTGATTTTCCTCATTTATCACAAAAAAAACACTAACTTTGGCGTTTAAAAATATTTATTTTTCCGTTCTATGTTTTGTGGATGTTTTTCTTTAGCAGGGATATAGAGCCCCCAAACTTTTTTTATTCAGATTTGTAGTTTTTAAAGTCTTTTAACATTTTCATAGGTTTGTTTAGAGATGTCAACCCATACACTCCCATTTACCTTTTGCTTTGTCACTGATACAACTAAACTTTCCCACAAAGGGACAAAAAGGAATATTTCTATTCTATTTATGATAAAACCTGATAGAAAGACTCTGGCATTAGGGGGGAGCACAAAACAAGTCCACACACGACTTTAATGTTATAGTGATTTTCTTTGAACTCTATTGCTGATGGTCAGGGCAGACTTGGACATCTAGGATATTTTCCTGCACAGGTCCCATTGCAATCTTTCAACTTAAAAAAACAAAAACTCATTCTCCGCCTGGAATGATTCATCCACCACTGAGCTGCAGGTTTGTTTCTCTATGTGATAGTTCCACACTGAGGGGTGGCTGGAAACTAATAGGTGCTGAAACCTGTTCAGGGAGGATCTATACTCATCACAATGAATCAACAGGAAAATTACACGCACATCTCTACTTTTCAAAGAAATGATTGAAAACAGACCAGATTTTCACGAGAACCTTGTTTATAAAGCTACGCGAGGGGCAATGATAGGCTAGGGGTGGTCACACAGTCCTGGTTCCTTTGATCTTCTATGCTCTTTTAACAACAATAATAGGTGTGAAAAACCTTATTGCTATACAGTATTTACTGATACTAATAAACAAGAATGACGTTCATGAAAAAAAAAAAAAGGGGAAAACCTTATTTCTGTTAGGAATCCAGTTTGTTTGGGTTGTTTGTGTGTTTTTCTCCCTCCAACACCAGGTGATGCCCTGTCCTCGTTGGCCCTCCTGCACACCTGCGGCTCGTTGGATCATTACTGGAGGAGTATTTGAGCAGTGGGCTGTCACTACCTCGAGGCCAGAGTGTTTGCCAGTTTTGGGTACTCTTGCCAAGCTGAGATTAGCAGAGTCTAACCTAAGCTTTGTTTCTCTGAGTCTTATCAAGTTTTTGTCTTTGCTCCTCGGCAAAAAGACAAAATATCATACTCAAGTAAAAGTACTTGGATGAAATATTACTCAAGTACAAGTAAAATTACCCATCAGAAAAATTACTCAAGTAAAAGTAATAAGTAGCTAATTTAAAATGTATTTTAAGTAAAAGTTACTTACATTTAAAAAAAAAAAAAAAAAAAACAGTTGAAGGGGGCAGGGGATCTCTCCCATGTAGTGAAAATAGGACAAGAAGTCATAAATCCAAAGCTATTTAGTTTTTAATTAAAGAAAAATCTATACAAATGTATACACATGTAATGACAAGATAACACATGTCACACTAGATGTGGAGTTATTGAATGCTGCCAGTTCAGTCACCTTTGGCAGACACGTCTGGCATTGCATGATGATACTGTTGGCCCTCTTGAATTTAAATGAAAAGCAGTCTTTCAGATGTGGCCGAGGATTTTCGTCATTTTAGGCAGCAGAATTCGATGTTTCAGCTAGCATTTCTAGTGAAACGTTCTCTGAACCGTCGACGCTCTCCTGATCCACCTCCATCTCGTTCCCGATCTCCTGCAGAAAGACTTGGCGCCTGGTAGCCTAGATCTACATGCTGATCACGTCACTCACTGTAGTGCTTCCGGGTAAGATTTTTTTGTCTTCCTTTCGGTTTTCCAAAGTTTTTTTTTTTTACTCAGTAACGGATGGGATTTGTAATGTAACGAAATACAATACTTCACTCAAAACGTAATCAAGTAAAATTTAAATTACCGATTTTAAAAACTACTTGAAAAATACAAAATACACAAAAAACCTACTCAATACAGTAACTTGAGTAAATGTATTTCGGTACTTTCCACCTCTGGGCAGGAAGCCTTCCTGAGTACTGGATACCTGGACCTTCTCCCCCTGGAAGGATTAACTGAGTACACACTGAGCAGAGGAAAACCTCCACATGATCTGTTCAGGTTCTCATCGGAAATCCAAGTGACAGCCCGCTCCTTTACTCCTCTGGGTCTAATGCTTGTCTATCTGTCCGCCCTCCAACGAGTTCCCTCTTCTTTGGCATAACCCCCACTAGCTGGATTCTAGGATTCACAAGTGCCCCCTCAAACGTGAGCCCTTCTCCAGTAACAATCAAGCCTCAGTCAAATTTCCTACGGTCCCTGAACTGATCACTGTGATCTCCCCTTCAGACTTTCCAGTTCTGGTTCACCAGTCCACTGAGTTCCAGATCGAACTTCTGTTATTCATCTACATTTAATAAACCTGTTAAACTTTTTCCCTTGGTGTAGAAATAATGACATATACAAATGTATAAAAATATTCAAAACTTAAAGTGTTTAAAAAATAAATGATGATCACATAAACAATTGCAAAGGGATTGAGGATGAAGAACATTATGCCTCTATATTTCCTCCAGCATAAACCTAAATCTTGTTTCACTGCTGCCACTTTCAAAAATGTTTTAAAAATCCAAAGGCTTCTGTTGAACCTGCTTTAAAGATTCAGTAGAAAGCTGAACGTTTTAATGCAAAAAAACAAAACAAAAATGCTGCTCAGATGTTCAAAATGTCTAGATTGCTAACCGAACCAGAAATATTCCAGCGGTATTCTGCTGTGAAGGGTTCAAACAGGAGACAAAAACGAGACACTTCATTAAAAAACAGTGCTTTTTATTTATGTAATACTGTGGAAAAATAATTACATACCATTTTTAAAAAATATCGAAGATAATGGAATAAAAAAAATGAGTTTGATAATGTTTGTCGTACATCTTTTTGAACAGCTGTCTCTGCTACCAACGGTACGATAAGATAAACATTGGATTCGCCTAAATTCAAAGACACAATAATACAGGATACAGTCCTACCAGAGGTATAAAAGGAGTGTAACAGGTTTGTGAGAAATGATACAGACGTATACTAAAACACACACACTCATTCAAACTTCTATACAAACACACTGTACAAATGGAAGTGTGCGCCAATGCCCACCCCCCTCCCTTCCCTTGATGGTTCGCTCCCACTCACACTCGCAGTCACACTCTAATAACATGTCAATACTGTGGACAAGCCTTCATTAAACCTCTCTGCACACATTCTCCTCCAGCCAGATTTGGCAGACGAACAATGTAGGAATGATTCAAAATGGAAATGCATGAAATGCTCCCCCATAAGGCCACTCTAAACCCATCATCCACGTTTGTTCTCTCTTCGTCTGTGCCAGGCTTACAGTTAAAAACAAGAGAAGAAACGGCTCCATCCTGGTCTCATAAAGCAGCATCCAACCAATAGAGGGAGCTTCTACTGCATACACGTGGTCCAAGGAATATGAACGTTTGGCACAAGGTTTTCAATTTCTTTTTTTTGGAAAAGGGACTGAAACACATCCCCGTTCCAGGCTTCCGCCATTGGCACAACTCTTCGCTTGGGTTCGGTGTGCGTGCACGCTCCAAAACGTTTTGGTCCATTACATCATACATGATTACATACATGTTTTACACCGACAAAAATAATATTGTAATGTTAAAAAATAGAATACAAAGCTCTAATCTGGTGTGCAAATAAACAGAAGACGTAACAGAGATATAGTAAAGAGACGTCAGAGAATGAATACCATGGATGAAGTACAACATGATGGTCAGCCACCCACACTCCCTCTTTCCCCCCCTAAATGCTGCCTAACGGGCCCGGCTGCACTGTACACGCGGGCTCTCTGGGATACTACATACTGTTTATGTGCTCTATGTTCACTGAATAAGACAACCAGCTAAAAGAAAAACTCAAAATGGTGGCCAGAAATGGCTCCCACTGGCTGAGGTCGCTTTCGATCGGCGCGTCGATCTGACAGTTTTGCTTCAAGATTTCCTCCGTCACCTCACGACGACAGTTCAGAACAGAGGTTGTATTGGGGGGGTGGGTGGGGCGCGATCTCTCGTCCTCTCTCGGCATGATTGTGACTTGCGCTGTCCGCTCTCACAGAGCTCACATCTCCAAACATCGGGAGTAGAGGGAATTCCAAACCGCGTGGACTTTCCCCTCCCTGTCTCGTTAAAACTCCTTCATTTCACCCTGTTTTCTCTGCTCTCTGTTTACTCTTCCTCCTCCCTCTCTCACGGGCATGGTGTAGGAAATTGTGCCTGTGTTTGTGTGTTGGTGTCCAACCAGGACATGGGGAAATGTCTGCATGTTTGTGTGTGGGTATATGTGTGTTCTGTGTGACACTATTTATAAGATGCCTCTTAATGCTCGGCTAAGACTGTGAGGGGGGGGGTTCTCTGAGTCTCGCTCTCACACGTGAGTCTGCATTCGCTGCGTGTGTCGGCTGTGAGAGTAGTCAGAGTGCTGCGAGGTGTAGGAAAAGCGAGTGGAGCTGCCGTACTTCCCCAGTCCAGTCTCTGAAACGGCTGGAGCTGGGCCTCCAGGACTGACCCCGACCCCGGGGCTTGCCACCCCAGATCCGACCCCGTACATCTCGTAGGACGGGCCGGCCTCCAGCGGGGCCAGGCTGGATGGTGCGAAGCCCATGCGATAGGTCTGGTAGTGCGAAGGGTAGCCGTAGTTGTCGTAGGCAAGCTGGGAAGTGGAGTCCAGAAGGCTGCAGTCCCCTGGGAAGTCAGTGGCCGCTGGGGCGGGGTTAGTGGGGGGCTGCTGGCTTTGGCCCCCACGGGTGAAAGTGTTGAACTGGGCATAACTGATGTGAGACAGTCTGGAGGGTGGCCGAGGGTCGTAGCAGGCTTGTGGGCGTCCAGGGGAGGTGAGAGGACCTGGGGGAACGGGGGCTCCTCCGCTGGCTGTGGCTCCAGAGCCTCCAGTGCTGCTACTGATAGATGCTGCTCCTCCTGGTGTCCCTGCAGGGGAGCGGTAGTCAGCGTAATGCAACGTGGAACGGGACCCAGGGTGGACTTCATCCTGGGTGGTAGCTCGAACATTGTAGTAGCCGTTAGTGGGGTCCTAAAGAGACAGGAGGAGACAAACAGAAATACAGTTTAGATTCATTACAAAGAAAACAAAACGAGTTTTAATTTGGGTTGTATGTCAAAGATCAACACAAAGTAGTATGAAAAACTTAATGTATTTTATCCAAATCAAAAATCCCAGCACATTTCAAACCTAACAAGAGACTAATGCATCCTAAAGACAAAGCCCCAGACCAAATATGAGTTATCTATGTAGTTCGATGCAGTTAGGAATGCTCTGATCTTTATATTGGAGAAACAAAACAACATCTCCACAGACTCATGGCCCAACATAGAAGAACGACCTCCTCAGGACAAGACTCTGCGTTATATCTACACCTTATGGACAAATGACGTTAAACAGACGGGGTGGACTCAGATTTCAGCTTTCAAAAACCTAAAATTCAGCCATTGAGTTGATTCCCTCCTGCTATCATTCATTTATTGAAATGATAGCGGGAGTTAATCAATCTTTACAAAGTAAATCATTTAACTTTGTAAAGATTTAAAGTAATTAAGAACATTATAATAGAACAGTAGAAGATAAATAACTACAGATATTTTGGTATATGCCTTGGTTCACTAATGTTCTTTAACAAAACTGAGGCATAAAAGGAACAGCTGGATCGATTGCATCCACTACTTTCTTACCAAGTAGAAGCCTAAGAATTATGTGCGCAATTTTTTATGTGGAGGCACCAAAGCCAACATGGATGAACAAAAAACAGAAGCATACTGTTCAGGCTTGTATTTTGAGTTGATCAAAAACAAGTCAAAGGTTTTAGTATTTAAAAAAAATGAGATGTGAATATCTTTGCCATCCAAATGTATAAAAACCTTATATAAAAGACATGTATACTTACAAAAATGTCTGGCTTTAAATGGCTATAAATTATGGATGTAAACAAGTTATTGCTGTTTATTCTTAGGCGGAGCCTCACTGGTAGTTCTTAGAGAAGCAATGTCAGAGAGGAGGCATGCTAAAGCAAAGATTTCCACAGTTTACCGGTAATAGCAACAAGGATGCAGAATGAGGTTCTGTTTGTAAATATGAACAGTGGATGCACTCCTTAACTTATAAGCTTATTAGCGAAAACTTAGCCATGTTGCATGGCAGAGCAGCGTCATGATAGAAATATGGAGATCATGCAAAAATGTTTATAAGAGGATAGAGAAGAACATGCTGAAAAAAGATATGGTCGACGGGACTTTCAAGAGTTGACGGACTTTACAGAATCCAGGTTTTAGCATTCCTCTGAGAGTATCTAGAAACTCTGGCATGCTTGTAGCGACAGTGGAGAGGAAGAACTCCCTTTCAACAGGAAGAAACCTCCAGCTGAACCAGGCTCAGTGTGAGCGGCCTTCTGCCATCTACCTATATCAAGGTTAGCCTCCAATAAATTGTAAAAAAAATTGTTTGACATTATCTCAAAGTGACATTCTCTTAGGTTTACATATAGTTATACATCTCTACACATTTATTGGAAGAAAAAAAATGTTTCTCTTTTGTTACATTTAATAAAACATTTTATTAATTATTTATCTATTTATTTATGCAGTTAATGTATATTGCAGCTGGCAGAATACATTTTCAAATTATAATAATAATATACTTCAGCATATTGTAAAAACATATTTAGCCCTTCATGTTATGGTGGAAATATCCTGATTTTACAGATAGAAAAATCTGGTATTCAAGAAAATTGTCTCCTGTTAATAAATCATTAAATTATGGTTAAAATCAATCAACTTTAGATGAACCAATTGCTTCTATACATTCATTCTTTTTGGTATTATTATGCCTGTTTATTTCAGACTTATTTCTGTCTCTAACTTTTTTGTACAGCTTTAGCTCTCCAGGCGGTGGGCCGAAAAAAAAAAAAAAAAAAGCATTTCGGGATGATCTAACAACGTCCTGCGGTGGATTCCTGTCTGTGTTTCTTCTGTATGATCTGAGGCAGAACTTCAGCTCCAGGGCTCTGCCTTCATTTGCCCTCACAGAGTATTCCGACTTCCTTCGAAAGAAAGACATTCATGCAGCTTGGTGATTTAAAATGCCTTGTCACAAGCACTGCAGTGAATGACTTGAGTTGTGCTTTTATTTTGTTATTTCCTTAATGTTTGATACTTCAAAAAACAAAATCTATCAAAGATAAGTAAAAATCTGGAGTTTTCAACTGATGGTTTTAATCTAAGGGATCAGAAAGTAATCCAAACCAACCTGGCGTTAGATGGAATAGCAACTAACCCTTTAGAGTAAAAACTGTCAAGAGTCTTTTTAAAGGAAAAGTCCTACTTCTGAAAGTACTTTAAATATGAAATTATAATCAATAAATGATAAGTGTTCTTAATTAAGAGTAGTTTCATTTGAATGTGCTTTACTGGAGGCATCCATGTTTGTCAAAGCACACTACTGCCACCTACCGGTTGGTGACGTCATGGTGCGGTATCGGCTGTTAAGCAAGTCCCAGTGGTGTTTCTGATGTTTGTCACAATGCGCTATTATCCAAGTCATCTTGAAATGTTGGCTACATAAAATGTGTTTTTTCTCTGGCCATAAGTTTGATGGCAAATCCTCCCTCTTCAAGTTTGCAATGTAACAACGAACACGTCCGTGGAGGATCAGGAATCGGAAAGGTGAAATAACGAATTTTTTTCTAATTTTTACCCAATGTGTCACAACATCCAACTGCCATGCAGCTCTTGCTTATTTCAATGGTGAAGTCCTCTGGAAATCTAAAATAATTGTTGTTTATTGCAGATGTGTCTAGTAGTTCCCCTTGATTTTGCTTGTAAAGCGGGGAGAATGGCGCTAGGCTTACCGCACCGTGACGTCACTGCCAGAAGATGGCAGGAGTGAGGTGTTACTATATTTGGGCAAAAATGGCCGCTCCCAGACTCTGTAAAATCAATGAAAATTATTGCTTTTACCGATTAATGCTAAATTCATTAATTCACCGCAAATGTATTAGTTTTAGGTATAAATAATAATCCATTGATTATTCTTTTCTGACCAGATTTTTCCTTCGATAGATGATCTGCCATTTTATAAAGTAGCTATTACAATAAAAAAAGAAAGAACGGCAAGAGGTTTTTTGATGATTAAAATGTAGGTTCAGGAATGAATTTAGTGAAGTTAGGGTTAATACAAAGCAGACTAGTGAGGAGAATCTACAGCAGCGAACATCTGATCACTTGAAAACAGGACAAGTGATGATAATATGTGGTAATATGTGGTATATTCATACCATCTCAAAATCAACTTTATTCACTGAATATATATATATATATATAAAATAACATAAACCAAACAAAAACTGGTAAGTTTAGAGAAAGAAAGCTCACCTTTAGGTCGTACTCCTGGCGGGTGTCCAGGGTGTCGCTTCGGAGGTCCGACTTGAGTTCTATCTCATCTTTAAAAGGCTGATTAGAAGGAGAGAAGGACACAGAAGGGAGAAACTAAACCGTCAAACAACAGAACAAACAAAAAGAAGAGGAGCCAGAACATAAAACAGGAGTGGGAAGGAGAAACAGAGTATGAGAGAAAAAGAGAAAGTGGAGTTAAAAAGGAGCGAGTGAAGAGGAAGTTGGTGTTTGTTTTTTTTTAGTGAAGAGGTACAGTGAGGTACACTGCAGGGAGTTAGTCTACAGCTACAGGCTATGGAAACAGATCCCAACCCAAACACAAACATCCCGCTCGCTGCCGCTCACCGAGTACATGGCCTTGACCATGCGCGACGCCGTGGACACGCTGCCAGAGTCCTCTTCCAGGCTGTGGGTCTCCTTAGTAATCGTCTCCACCTTGATGTCGGGCTTCCCAAGCGTGACCCCGCGCCGGCCTGCGAGCACAAACACACAGATTGAGAAACAGCTGGAAGGACACCTGTGGAGTCAACCTGTCGGACTGAACTGAACAGTTGACTCATCTTGACTTGGTACAAGATTTAAGCCCTTTAAAAAAACAACTGTAAGTTAAGACTAAAGGAGTTTTGCATGAGGAACAGAGAAGATGACTCACTGCCTTTTCGCTGCCGGTAAAAGATGAGAACAAGAACAAGCAGGAAGACGAACAGCAGGATGGTGGAACAGACCGTGACGCCGGCTATTATTCCCACTGGAACCTCCTCTGTGACGACAGGCAGGAGAAAAGGTTAGGAAGACATCATCGGTGCAGCCAAAGACTGTAGCTACAGAAACCATGTGCTGCTAGCTTACCGGTCTCCTCCAGGGTGATGATCATGGTCCCGGGGCCGAACACGTTCCAGGCTGTGCAGTTGTAGGTGGACAGGAAGTCCGACTCCATCACGTTGTTGATGGTGAGGGTGGAGAGGACGCCACCGCCCTCAGCTGCAGGCTTGCTCTGTTCCACTGTGTACCTCTCCAGCAGCGTGCCCTTCTCCTTCTCCCACACGTTCTCCTTCCAAGCCCACACCTGCAGCGCAGCAACAGAACGGCTTGATTAGAAAAACTCAGAGGGTCACATTCAGACTCATTTAAACAGTGTTAGTATAAATACACACGTCGGATGAATCTAGGAAACTCAAACCCTTTTAGGTTGGTCTGTAAAAGAATTTATGCTGTTTAACCTTTAGTCAATATTTATCCACATTAAAACCGCAAACATCTGCTGGAATTTACCAAGATAGACCAACCAAGTAGCAGTGGTCTTGCAGCTTTAAAGGCTTAAGACATCTCCTGTACCCAGGGCGGCTGGAAGTCATTTTGAACAGGGGGTGCTGTGAAATTTTTGTTGTTTTTTTTGGAACAAAAGACGTACCGGTAAGTAAACAGATTGAGATACACTAATTAATTGTCATATACACTTTAGTGCACACAACCAGGGTCTGGTTTGATGATTTGCTTCCACTTCTGATTCATAAGCAATTAAACCTATACCCCTGCGCCTTAGTGCTGGGTGTTTTCTGAACAGCCCCAGTGTTATGCCTTTAACAGCTATAAGATGTTGTTCTCTAAAAGTGTGTTTTAAGATAATTTAAGTATGTTTTGAGATCATTTAAGATGAGAACATTATACTTTAAGCTTCACTATATGGTCCGTTTGCTGATTTAGTGTAAAATGAGTCCTGATTCAAAATTTTCACTTAAAAAAAGTCAGATTGGTTTCTACTGTATTCCATCCATCCTTTTTCAGTCACGCCTATCTGTCGCGGAGTCGCGACGGGTGCTGGTGCCTATCTCTAGTTGTCTATGGATGAGAGGCGGGGTCCACCCTGGACAGGTCGCCAGTCCATCGCAGGGCAACACAGAGACAAACAACCATTCAGACTCACAACTAAGGAGAATTTTAGAGAGAAATTTTACATGTATGGTTAATACAGCTATTACTTATTTGTGCACATTAATTATGTTTTTGATAAAAAAAAAACCCTTTCATTAAAATACCATTAGAATGCTTATAATACTAAGTTTGAGTCAAGAGGCCCCCCCTTCAGTGTTCACCACATTGGATTTGTTCATTTTCTCTGCATGTGCAGAAAGGTCCAAACAAACAGCAGCAAATCCTTTGAAAACAAATGATGCAAAGCGCATTGTTGCCAACTTTGCATTTTAGTTGCTATATTTAGTGACTTTTCAGACACCTCTAGCACTTTTATTTAAAAAAAAAGGGCCTAGTGCCAAATCTAGCGACTTTTTTTCTGCTACTGGAGACTTTGGAGACAAGATATAAAAGCACCAAACTCTGTTCTCCAGAGCAAGTAGATTGGTAACCCAGCCTCCTGCTCTCCTCTATCTTCTATGCTTTCATGATTCATGCAGCTATTATTTTAGACACATGAAAAATGGAGAACAGATAAGCAGATCATGGCTTGTCTACAGTGAAAAGAAGGACTGGGTTATTTATTTTTGCCATCGCTTTATTGGAGCTTAGTGCTTGGAAAAAATATTTCATTCCTTTTGAGACAGCATGAAAAGTCAGCTGAGTACAAACCATTTGAGTTGAAAAAGTTATAATTTTAAGCGTCATTATATACATTTAATGATTTAGTGCATCATTTTAAAAAAAGTTTCATATTTGGCGAGGACACGAGTCTGTACTCGCTTTCTTGTGAATTGAGAAACGGCTTGGCACTTTTTGTGTCACCTTGTTAAATAGCAGACTTCAATCTGTCTCAGTAGACAGTGCTTTCCTTTAAGACAGAAAATTATTCTTTTCTACTTTCATCTACTTTAGATCGCCGATGAAACGTCAAATAATAGCAAATATGGTTAATAACATGTTGAGACTCCAGAAGAGAAATGATTCTTAGGAAACGTGAGCAGTAAAGTCATAAGAAGCAGCACCCAAGCAGATCTGGTACTTCCACCGGACCTAGCTGCAACATACCAAAACACCTTGGGTACCAGCACACTCTGAAATGTCTTGTCTAAGGAAGGTCCCGATTTTTCAGATGATCTTGTGCACCATTGTTTAATTCAGGTATTTTCACTTCAAATTAAGTAAAGAATTTGATATTTTTCTCCACCTCTGCCTGCGCCTAGCAGTGAAGTTGCTTTCACTGATTGGAAAGCAGTCAGTGGTGGCCTCCATCTCACTCCGGCAAAGGGAGGTCACTACATGACTTCCTGAAAGCAGCAACAGTGTGCATGTCACTGCAAACTAAAGCAGAGCATCGCAGAGGGTGACTGAGCTGGTGAAAACATTGCTCATTCTCCACCTTTAGAGCCACTAAAAGCAGCTTTATTATTTAGCACTGAAGTACTGTACTAAGCTCAGTTAATTATGCATAAGCCCACATGTTTCTATAATGCGGCCACTTATTGGAGAAGCAGGGGTGGGGGGGGCAGAACCTTCTGGCTGCGGCGTTTACAGGGACAACTGCTCCTCTCTGCTCCTTCATCTTTTATAAATGTCTTTCTGTCCCGAACTTCCCTACTTGCATTAGGGAGTGCGGCGCTGCGAGTCAGGACGGATCAGTCACCGAAGCCGAGGCTGCTGCGCTGCGTCCCGGCTGCGCACTGACGCAGAGCTAAAAGCGGACTGGCTTAGTGTTGCTTTGTTTATGTGATGGGATGGAAGAACGCTCTGACAGAGTTCCAGGCTGAGTCACTGCTCAGAGAGAGAGAAAGCCTCTAGCATTCAGGACTGGAGTCATTAGGAAGGGACAGGAAACGGACTAATCCCAACTGCTGTTAGCCTAAAAGCTACAACCTTGTGCTCTTTGAGGCCAGAGCTTTTCCTTGTCTGTATTTATTCTTAGCTTAATAATTGATGCTTCGCTATGATTTTCCAAAGTCCCATTTGAGGTGCATAAAAAGCCCCACACTGCATCCTAAAAATGTCTCACAGAGGCATGGAGCATTTTCATATGTACTTGTCTTCCAAACTGAGGGGCATTTTATTGAAATCTTTAACGCAATGGTTTAAAAAAAAAGTACTGGATAAGTGTGAAGTGGAAGGAAAAGGATAATATGTAAACTCAATTGAGACAAATTGAGAATCTGTAGCAAGACTTAAAGCTGGTGTTTTAAAACACTTTGCAGATTTAGGCCGTAAAAAGCTGGGAGATTCATTAATTTGCTGTAGTTGTAATAAATGATGGTTCAATAAAGTTCAGAGGGAGATAAATAGAAATAAAAACTAGGGTTCTCAGATTTAGATTTCAAATAATTTTCACATAAGAATGAACCATTTTCAACAGGTTTGTCGATAAATCATGTTCAAATTTGTGGTTTAAAAACATTAAAGACCTTAATATCTACCCTCCTATTATGCAAACTATCAGATTGACCATTGGTAATAATAATAATAATACATTTTATTTCAAAGCGCCTTATCAAAACACCCAAGGACACCGTACAGGCAGATAAAACATTAAAAACAGGAAGCTAAAAAGTACAAGCATAAAGATGCCACAGAAAACAAAACAGCAGGAAGTAAAATAAAGCCAAAGGAAGAAAACAATATTGGAGTGATGCATATGAACTAGATGGGATAAGAATGTCTGAACAGAAGAGTTTTGAGTCTGGATTGAAAAGAGGGACGGAGTCCAGAGTATGGAGATCCGGAGGGAGGGAGTTGTGACAAGACGGGCCGAGGGAACGGAGAGCTGGAAGGTGTGGGAGGATTGTAGGGAGCGGGTGGGGGTTTTAACGTGAAGCAGATCTGAGATTTAAGATGGAGCCAAGCTGTGGAGGGCCTTGAATGTAGTTAGGAGGAGTTTGAAGATGATTCTTTGTTTGATGGGGAGCCAGTGGAGTTGTTGCAGGATGGGTGTGATATGATGAGAAATGGGGGTCCGAGTGATCAGGCGTGCTGCAGAGTTTTGGAGGAGCTGTAGTTTCTGGAGGGACTTGTTTGGAAGGCCAAAAAGAAGTGAATTACAGTAAGATGCGTGAAGTGATGAGACTGTGAACAAGAATGGCGGTAGTTTGGGGTGTGAGGGAGGGACGGAGACGAGAGATGTTACGCAGATGGAAGTAGGCAGACCGGGTGATGTTGTTAATGTGGGACTGGAAGGAGAGGGTGCTGTCGAGGACGACACCCAGACTCTTAACCTGAGGGGACGGGAGGACAGTTGAATCATTGATGGTAATCGAGAAGTTATTAGCTTTGGAGGTTAGCTTGAGCAGAGCCATGAAGAAAGGAGTGTTCTCATAAATCCATTGGCAAAAATTGTCAACATTTCTTCAATAGGCTGAGGGAAGTTAGCTGCTCCGTCTAGCATTGCCAAAGACATTAGCAGAGCATGGCATTAGTGCGTGGATACATCAATAGTGCTGCGTTTTGGAAAGGTAGGTGGTTCAAAGTAATTAAGATTAAGTGTACATTTAATCTGGAGGATTCTTATCAGCTTCACCTGAACCACCTGCGATGTCCCTTGTTCGATCAAGACGGGGCTGCACCTTCTCTGAAGCCAATCATTTTATAACATCCCCTTCATTTAGCTCCTTGCCTAGCATCTCTCTCCTGTACGCAAGCAAGCTTTCATCCAACTCCAGCCCATCTCACCCTCATTCTCAGTCCCACTCCTTTACACTTTAAACTACCTCAACGGGTGTGTATCCCTTTAGTCATGCACAAAAAAACTTTATTAATTGCTTTTTGGATTTGTTTTTAAGCTTATGGCGATCTGACCTTAAATAGTTTTTTTTGTACATGGCTAAAGGGATACATGCCCCTTTCAAGGTAGTTTAAAGTTTATTTTTTTGTACAAAATAAAAGGGATGAACGCAAATCTGATGTCTTGCGCATGCTTTTGGCTATGGGTATGCTGGTCTGATGGGCTATGCTGATCTGACAGAACATCGGCCCCGAGGGAAAATTATGCTAATCCTTTTCTAGGTTACTCATCCAAACATACATGATACACAGCAATAAAATCTACTGGGGCCCAGGCATCAAAGAACTTATTTTGTTTATGTCTTTTTCTTCTTCTGTCTCCTTGAACCCCAGTCGGCCTCGGCAGATGGCCGCTCACACTGAGCCTGGTTCTGCTGGAGGTTTCTTCCTGTTGAAAGGGAGTTTTCCTCTCCACCGTCACTACATGCATGCTTGGTGGCTTGGTGAAAGGGATTCCAGAGAGTCAATGAGTCCTCAAACTGTAACAATCTTGGTTCTGTTGTTTTTCTCTAAGTTTTCAGTTTAAAGTTCATCCAGGTTTTTCCTTGTTTTCTGGCTTTATTGGTGTGTCTGGATTCATTAAAGGTCCTTAGGTTTTTCTTTGTCTGTCCTCTGTTGCCCCCTCGTGTTTTCTTTTCCTTCCTCATCAGCTCTGCTCACACCTGCTCCTTATCAGCTCATTAGTCCTTCCTTTGTTCAGTCAGCCATAAATACAGTCCCTCTGCAGTCCCTCTTTGCTGGTTCCTCGTCTTACCTTTTCTCACCCTGGCTTCTTGATGGTTTTCCCCTGATGTCTCCATGGTTCTGGTTTGTGTTGGATTTTTAAGTTGGATTTTTGGATACCTGTTTTTGCTGCCTGATCTTTCATTAAATCTTTTAAGAATTCACCCCTGCCAGTTAGCCTCTGCATTTTGGGTCCTCACAATAACCTTATAACCAAATCTTGACACAAACATACAGTCATACTGACTATTTGTTACTTTGTTTCCATGAAGTGGACACTAACTACGATACAATGTTAAAGGAATGTTAAAACTTGACTCCATTAAGTGCATTAAATCACAAAAGCCTGCATAATGCACTCTACTTTTTTATGGTCATACCTTCGCCTTGTGAGCACAGCAGAGATAAAGCAGTATTCTGGGGACTATTTAGGTGAAAACTTAAGTGTATCCAGTGTTTTTATTTAGAAACAAAACCACATTATTTGTACTCTGCGTTCGTGTAAATAATCCCAAACCTGCCTTATGATGGATTCAGGTTTCTCAACTCTGGCAATGCCTCTCATGCATGTGACCATAGGCGCTGTCTAGTGGACGGCAATAACATTACAACAGCGAAAATTATTCCATTTAAGTGGACGTTACAAACTAATCGGTTGGAACAAATTAAACTGTTAATCCATAATAAATAATAAATAGGTTATTGGTTTTTATAACCCTTGTATGAATACTTTTCAAAAAGCTGAATAATTGCACTTACGATCTTATCTGGAGGAGGCGTACTGGCTATGTAGCATTTCACCTCTCCTCTCTCCCCCCTCACAGCGTACTGGACAGCCTCACTAGAGATGATGGGTGGACCTGTGAACACACAAACGGTACATTTCAGAGAAGTCGAAAGGGGGTTTAACCTTTTTAAGTCTCCATTTACTAAAAAGATGTCTTTTTCAACAGGAAAATGCTTTAATTGAACCGTGTGAGTGTTTTCTGACCGTTGACTGTGAGCGTGACCTCGGTTTCTCCTACTCCAATCCGTGGGACGATGGCCTTGCATACGTATTGGCCAGCATCAGCCTGGGTCACTGACTTCAGATGCAGTTGGTTGCTGTTACTCAAGACCTGTGGGGGGGATAAGTGATCATGAATGCAAATGAGGCAAATCGTCCGCATGGAGCGGATGGGAGGACGCGAGGGGCCGCAGTAGATCAGCTCTGTCTGCACACACACTTTATTCATTTTTTACAGTCAACGTGATCTACTACTCTGACCCAATCTGACTAACAATGTAAACTCGTGCTGCAGTTCTTAACCCCTCACAAGGGGTTTTCATAGTTGCCTAGCAACCACATCCATCAGTAAATGAAGTGAGGAACTGATGGTTAAATGTGAAAGCGCCCAGAGAGAGAAACACCTGATTATACGGACGTGGGTGTCAGCCAAGTTAGGACGTATTTAGTGGCTTCGATGCTTTTTCTGTGCTGCCTTCTGGTTCAGGATGCAGCTCTGACTAAATTAGGGCTGCAACTAAAAATTATTTAGCTAATTGATTAATCTGTAGATTATTTTTCTGATTTATCGATTAATACTCTGATAGCAAAAGGATCCTTAAAGGCAGTACTTGAGTTGATGGGGGATGAGGGGGGATGGCATCCCCCTTCTTACAAAAATCATAAAAATCCTGCCGCTTCTTAAATGACCGTCCCCCCATACCATCCCCAGTGACATTTTATCACTAAATGTGTAAGTTTTCTGTTATATATTAACAGTAATAGCAATAATATTGCCCTTTTAACATTTGGCGCTGCTCTGAACAGCCTTACAGCCAAGCGGCAAAGACAACATGATTTGAGGGAATGTGAAATTAAGGAGGGAAGGGAATCTTCCGCAGGTTCCAGGTTCTAAGTTTAACAAATAAATTTTCAGAAATGATCTAGAATGATGCTGATAGCAAAATCAGGAATTGGCATCCACTGAGCAGAGAATTTTTTCATCGCACATCGACTGAAACGTAAAAGTAAAACCCTATTATTTTGAATTTATCTGTCCACCAAAACTATAAATTTTAAGGCATCCATGCTGAAAACATTAATATGTTTAAAATATTATTTCAATCCGTTTTCTCATCAATGGGCGTGAGTTTAGGCCGATGCGCGCTCCCGCGACAGGGCGGGTAATTCTCGGCACAACAGATGAAACCCGGAGGAGAGAATCGAAGCAGGGGCGGATTTAAGAAATTTGGGGCCCTAGGCAAAGACAGGGATGGTGCCCTCTGACTTCAGAAGACAACTCATAATACAGACCCATTATAGAGATACAGAAAGTTTAATAGAATAGACAAACATTTGCTAAATTTTGAGTGCCCTTAATTATATTTTATAGTTTTATATTATGTCTAGGTAAAAATAACGATTCAGTCATAATGCATTTTGAGATACCTCAAATGACTTCATCTGTTTTGTCATTTAAATTGTCACACATCCAGAATTATAATCAAGATATTTCAGTTCATTTGAACTAGTCAAAACTATATTTTTTTATATCCGAACTATCCCCCTAGTGCTGTCACTGAGCTGTCCTAACAGTTGCCTGCAGAACTTTGCATAGCTGCAATGGTGCTGGCTCTTCTTGACAAAGTTGTTTCAAAATGCCACAATATAGAAAGAACTTAGCAGTATGGGATGTGCGGAGAACAACAACTTTGTGAACTCTAAGACCCATTTCAATTTAATTATACGTTTTTTCACATTTTTAAACATTTTTTTTGTCAGAATTTAGAATTTTGACAAAAGAAAGAAGCAAGAAAGGACGCTATTGGCTGTCCTATAAGGCGCTAGATAATGCCTGTCGTCCAGTCGATGCTAAATAGCTTAGTTTGATGGACCTGTTAGAATAGTTTTAACTCTTTCATTGTCGGCATGTAGCCTAGCTTGCTTTAAATTAGCCAATAGAAGCTATACTTATTTTCTGATAAACAGTCTGTTTTGTAAAATAAATACTCTAAATGAATAGTTGAAAGGTGAGTAAAATTATTTTTTATCTTTTATAGGCTTATTTAATTTTTAGCCTAATTCTAATGTATTTGAATTTGGCTTGAAAGGATTCAGAAATTCAATTGCAATGTTTTATGAGGTTTTGTTCCAAATCTTAATAGATTATTTGTCAAAAGATTCTCCAAAGTAAAATCAAGTGTCCTACCATGACTATGAAGCTTATTCCAGTGGGAAATTAGTCCCTAACTATGTAGGGGCAGTGATAGCCATGCCAGTCCAGGGACTGACTGCAGTTCTACTGTAAGGTGCCTTGGTCAAGGGCATATTGCTTTAGGTTAATAGATTATTATAAATATTAATTAGGCTATGTATACCTCAAAAAGAAAAGCACCCTCCCCCTTCTTTTTTTCTTTACAACTCGACTACTGTATAAAGAATATTTATGACAGAGTCAAACCGGGTGCAACAAATGCTTTTCCACTTGAGTTCTGGGTAGAGCATATTAAAGGACACATTTTTTTTTATCTTAAATTCAAAATATTTATGTCCTATTTTTGCAATTTTGGTATAATTACTGTTGTAAGTAGGTTGCTCTATCAGCTAAAGGCATGTTTCAGAGTCTCTATACTCCAGTTAATCATTAATAAATTAGTTGACGATTATTTCAATAATCAATTAATCAAGGTTAATCGGTTAATTGGATAAATTTTTTCAGCCCTAGACTAAATCGTTCAATAAATGCTTTAAACACAATGCAGACTTATAAAAAAACGCCGATGTCACTCCAAACAAAACACATCTAGGTTTACTTAAGAAAACTAAAATTTGAAATGTTTGTGGAAAACTACTTTCTAGGGATGTTAATGAATTGGATCAACTTGGATTTTTCTTGAAGAAAGACACATTTTAAAGGTAAGACAATGTGAGCGATGTTCAGAGGCGTTCCAGACGGAACGATATAATCAGATGATACTTCCATTACAGCAGGAGAAGAAAGACTGGGGGAAGGACATGAACTCTGAGCTCTTACCATGTTCGATCCTTTCTTGAACCAGGTGAGAGTGAGCGGAGGGTTTCCAGCCCATTTGCAGTTGAGGGTGACATCAGAGTCCACATCAACTGTCTTTGGCTGCGGCTCCACCAACAGGATAGGACCAACTGGAGGAAGGAATCGAGGTGATAAATTAGTGAGGCTATAAACACGTTGAATGTTAATGTTTACTTCCAGAAGTTTTGCACATGCAAAAAGAAGTTTGTTTTACTAGGCGAACACGTTGGGCCGCCGCAGTACGACAATACTTTTAACAAGATGAAACCACTTGATGTCAGTATCACTAATTTAGATCATCTTTCTGCAGAGGACTGTAAAAGGTACACAGCAAAGTTAACTGTATTTAATGTAAAGCTTACAGACATGTTTCAAATAGCTGATGGTCAGTGGATTGAAAGTCCTTAAAATTCAAAAGTAAACAAATGCATAGGCATCAAGAATGTTGGAGAGTGTGCGGGGAGATAGATGTCAACCATTCCCATGTTTTTTGGAAGTGTTCAAAACTTTTGGAGTTTTGGTAAATGGTTTGCAGTGTATTATGTAAAGTATTAGGGTATGTAATTCCAATGAAACCTGAAATTCTCTATTTGTGCAATTTTGGTGATGATACTATCCATGAAAAGGATAACTATTTGGTAAAAGTGATGTTGATAGCTGCAAAGAAATGTATAACAAGGAAATGGTGGAAGTCAAACGTGCCATAAAAGGACCAATGGATCACGACGATTGAAGACATATTTCTCATGGAAAGACTAACACACAGACTGAGACTACAAGAACCACATATGAAAAAAAATGGGGAAAAACGGACATTATATAACTAGAAAAACTGAAAGAAGGTGCTACCCAGACATGTTCATGTTAGTGTACTTTGTTCCTTTTTAGTTGTATGTTTGTTGTATGATCAAAAATAATAAAATATAAGTGACAAAAAAAGTCCTCAAAATTATTAGTATTAATATTTATTAATTTAACAAAGATGGCGCAGACACTGTGCAGTAGAGGAGTTATGTGAAAAACAGGGAGCAAAAAGCAGTGATCGTCTGTCCGAATGGTAAGTTAACTGAAGTCGCTATAAAGTCAACTATATAGTCCCCTCTCTATATAGCGATTGAGGGATTTAGCGGTTAGGGCAGACATTCAGTCACAGTAAGACTAGACTTAGGCAACTTTTATTGTCATTTTGTATACACAGTGTATACAAAACGAAATTACATTTTGTGCAGCTTTCATGACATTCCTTAAAGTGCAGCAATGATCAAATGTAAACAGTGTGGGAGAAAAAACAGTGATATGGAAGTTCAGAGCATTAAATATGTATGGGGCAAATATAGAACTTTGAATTGGTGTTATTAGTGTGATGCAGAGTCAGTGAAATGATTAAGAGTTTTCTCAACAGTTCAGCTGTTAGCTTGTATGAGCTATGAGAAGAGCAACTTTTTAACAGAAGCTCGGTAAATTCCCAGCTAAAAACAACATGCAGCGCAAATGTTTTTGACCTCATACAGCAAACTGAGGCTGGGGTCTTGCGCATGCAAAATCATGTTTCATTGTGTCAATAAGTGATAAAGAGAAACCCCAATAAAGGTGTGTTTCCTCCATGAGACGCAGCAGCGATCACGGCGACTCACAGTGCACATCCACCAGGATGCTGACGTTAGTTTTCCCCACCGCATTGAAAACCAGACAGGAGACCGGTTCAGTGAAGAAGGAGTGGTCGGCCTTGGTGGTGAAAACGTTCTCCCTGGCTCCCTGTAGCACCACACCGCCTTTAGCCCACCTAAGATTCACACAGACGGGGTTACATTTTCAAACCATAAAGAAAGACTTTTCCTTTAATGTTAGTAAAAGCAAAGACATGCATTTCAAAAGTGGAACTTTGAAGAAAAAAAAAACATTAAAAAAGTGTATGCAAAAGTTGAACCGATAATGTAATTTGGTTATTTTCTCTTATTTTTCATTTTTCATCGTCTTCTGTTGGATCCCATTTATGAATAATGTTCTCTACACTTCCAGGTTAAGCATTCAACAGCATTCACTGGCACACAGAAATTTCTATTCCTATAGCGCCAATTCACAACACAAGTCATCTCAAGCCACTTTACAGTTCAACCAGATCATACAGTCAAATTGATTCAAAGTTTTCTATCTAAGGAAAACCAGTTGATTGCATCGACTCATTGACTTGAAGGCAATCCTTCACACTAAGCATGCTTGTAGCGACAGTGGAGAGGAAAAACTCGATAAATATTTTATCTTTAATGACGAGTAAAGCTGTTTCATTCGTCGTTAGATTGTTGACGTATTTCCGCCTTGACTCATTAAAAGTTGTGCATGTGCAGTAGCTCCTCTTTAATGCAAAAGTTCTCCTGCGCCCCGAGCTGAAAGCTAATTTTTTTTCACACCATCTGACCCAGTATGGAAAAAAAATCCACCAGCTGCCACTGAGAAAAAGCATAAGCAACTCCCCCCAAAAAGAACAGAATTAAATAAATAAATAAAAAATAAGGAATAATAATAGTTTTAATATATTAAAATATTGATTCAACATGTGCATACATATTATTAAATACTTTTAAAAGTAGTATTTTTTATTTATTTATTTTTTTACATTTTTTTTAGGTTCCATTTCAAATGTGATCTTTGCTTCAGTATCACTGGAACAAAATGGTCTCAATATAAAACAAAATAACAATAATTCAAAGGCAACATTTTCAAAGAAAGATTTTCTAAAAATAACAATAACAAAAAACAAAACTAAAAAAACTAAATAGCAGTTTACTTTTTTCAAAATCTATTTCATCATTTCACTATTGAGGATTTTCCAATTCTTGCCCCATGGGATGAAAAAGGGACTGGACCTCAGAATGCAGTGCATCAAACCATTTTGCTTAAATCCTTCTTTCATTTTCTCAGGAAAAAAAAAAACTTTTTTAAGTTTGAAAAAAGCTAAGAGTTAAAAATGTTAGTTTTTCTTATGTTATCAACAGAAACAAAGTTTTAAGAAAATGGAAATTAATTTTAAAAGTGTAATGAAGGATTTTCACAAATTTTTATACATTTGTAAAAGGCTCCTCTTTTTTAAAAAGACTCCTCTCCAATTCAAAAAAACAATTGGGTGTCCACAACCCTGTAGCCACTTCCAAGAGGAAATGCTTATTAAACGCATGCAGAAATCCATTTCTCCTCGTGCAATCTCTGTTTAGAAGTTGCTGTTCATCCAAGCTTAGTTTCCTAAAGATTTGCAATTTTTCCACTGTCAGACTCCCCGCCGCTAACTGAAAATTTATTTATGATAAGCAAACATGTTAAAAAAATATGTAAAAAACCAAACGTAATACAGATATTGTGAATGCAAACTTATGCGTCTCTGTTGCTACAACCGTCTTTATAGCTAAATTTAGCATGCCAATAAACAAGCTATCGACTAGCAACATTTTTCCTTTTTTTTGATGTACACTTAGAGCTCTCTAGTGTACAGTCTTTCAGGAACTGATTTGGACTACGAGCCCGTGCCCTGTTCATCCCGACCGAGATCCATTTACATCAAATTACTAAATAAAAAAACTTTTTCCACCCTGGAAAGTTACAATTCAGCTTCTGTCTCCTTAAACCCCAGTCAGCCTCGGCAGATGGCCGCTCACACTGATCCTGGTTCTGCTGGAGGTTTCTTCCTGTTAAAAGGGAGTTTTTCCTCTCCACTGTCGCTACAAGCATGCTTAGTGTGAGGGATTGCATTCAAGTCAATGAGTCGATGCGATCAACTGGTTTTCCTTAGATAAAAAACTTTGAATCAATTTGACCCGATGATCTGGTGAACTGTCAAGTGCCTTGAGATGACGTGTTGGGAATTGGCGCTATAGAAATAAACTAAACTAGATTGAAGTGGACTTTTTTTTTCCAAACAGCATGGCAACCTGCTTTCAGTGTACACCATTGCCTGAAAGAATCTCCCATAAAACACTCTGGTCTTGTTTCTGTCTTCTGAAGCCTTTCTCTTCTTCTCATACACTTTCGTAGACACTTTTTCTCTTACGAGAAAGATGAGCTTCAATGACTGTCTGAAACCGTAGCTCACTCACGCACAAAACGACAGCTAACTGCACGGGCAAGCATTATGGGATATATCTGCCTCTACTGAGGCCTTTCTTTTTCTTCTCATAAACTTCGTAGACACTTTTTTTTTTTTTTCTCAGCCATTTTCAAAGAACTATGGTGAGAAAGATGAGCTTCAATGACTGTCTCAACACATATACAGTAGCAGCCATTCAACATTGCCCTTCCCAGTCAAACGCCGAATGGCAGCCAACTTCCAGCCACTGGAGTGACCCGCTCCTCCTGGTCGTGCATATTTTTTTACTCTGACTCCACCCTTTCACTGAATTACAGGGTCTGACCAGAAGAAGCTGTTTCTCTTTAGATCTTAATGTCCACAAATCAGGACAGAAAGATTATACAAGTAGAAAAATGGATGTTTAAAAAAGGAATCTTAGGGGACCAGCCAAAGGCCCATCAAGTAAAGTGGGGAAATTTAGTATGGCTAATACTGTATATGCCTAAAGGACCACTTATTTTGATGATCCACCCGAAAAATTAAGATCCTCCCTTACATATTTAATTATATATCTTCAACATTTGTAAGTTATTAGGGTTTTTCTGTAATACAGGTTAGCAAAGCACAGAGAAGAGACTAAAACAGACCTGTAGCCCATAATAGGAGGGTTAGCGTGAGCCTGGCAGGTGAAGGTGACTCTGTCTCCTTCTAGGACAGAGCGAGGTTCAATGGACAAGGTCACTGTTGGTGGATCTGGAAAAACAAAGAGACTCTGGCAACATGGATCCTACAGCTGTTTCGCAGTAGACACTCTGTCTGTCTATATATTACCTTGCTTTATTAAAGCCTCCCTATCCCCTTCAATTTTCTACACACATTCATATCGTTGAACCACAGAATATAGAATATAACTGTGAGGGGGAATAATAACAAGTAAAACAATGTTCAACAAATAAAAATCTAAAAAGTTCATGATGTCCAGTGGAGGTACCAGATCTGCTCGGTGCCCTGCCCTTTCTTATGGCGTCCTCATATTGCAACTTCACTCGGACAAACTCTATAGGTGCATTTCTTAAGAATCAGTTGTCTTTTTTTTTCTTTTTTTTTTGGGGGGGGGGGGCAAATGGAAAAATTAAAGGACTTTTGTAGAGATTTTAGACAAAGAACACAATACTTACTCTATTTGTGGAAAACGAAAGGTTGTTGACACAAACTAATAAAAACGTTTAGCTTAATATGGCTAACTGACCGAGCTAAAAGAGGCTAACCTGTTAGCTACTGAGCACAGCTAGCCACAGCGCTACCCAGCTCTCCCCCTTTATATCATGGTCCTGCAGTTACTTTGTTCACTGTAAACATACAGTTTTCTGTTTTATTATCTATCACTGTCTGGGCAACATCACATGGCAAAGTTCAGCCAACCATGTAGTGTAACGTCACTGGCATGAAGCAGGACCCGGGCAGATCTGGTCCCTACATGACTTATTCTGGTCAATTCTAGCTCATGTGTCTGAATTTGAACCATTCTGTTGTAGTTCTGACTTCATGTTTAGGGCTCTTGGCTTGTTGATAGATACATCTCTGTTCTAGGCTCTGTTTCTTTCAAGTTTGATTCATGTTCACATGAAGTCTGATGAAAACAAAGTGGTACTGAAATGTATTTAGATGTATCAAAGTAAAGAAAGAGAAATAGGTTTTCATGCCACACTTTTCAGATTTTAAAATCCATGATTTCTTTTTTTTACTTCAAAATAAAAAAAGTTTTATTTTTTGTCCAACACATAAAATCCAACTGAAACACATTTAGATTTGTGGCTGTAATTAACAAAAACCTTAAAACAATTTAAGAGGTTAGATTTAATGCTACGTTCAGACCGCGCGTGATTGAAGCAACAGAAGCAGCTAGTCTAGGTGCAAAGTCATGCCACATCAAGGTGCATCAATAGGTACCTGAAAAAATCTAATGCTACATTCAGACCGCACGTAGTAGAAGCAGCAAAACCACGTGTGCTGCTTCATTTTTGATGCTTGTACAAGTTTAGTTCTGACACGCTGTTCTAGCTGCACGGTCGAAAAAAGTGGGTCTGATGCACGTTGGACGGAGCTACCCCATCCTTTGTTTGCCTGTATGGCAGCTATATTTGCTGTTATATGTGGGTAAAAAGTAGTTTTAATACATTTTTAAGTGAGAAAGTCCACCTAACAGCTTAATCTGTGCAGTCAGTTCATCAAGATTACGATCCTGCCCCGAACACTGGTGGTGCTCTGTCACTGGGAATCCCGTTCAACAGCAGCCTCTGGCCCGGTCGCCTCTTCGCGGTTTTCGCTACTGTTTGCGGTGGCTGGAAGGCATTTTTCACATACATAATCCAAACTGCAGGTACAATAATAAAGCGAACATGTTTTGCCTGCAGATTTTGATATTTTAAGTTAATTTAGGCTTTAATACACTGTTTCAGAGAAGTGATATTAACTCTCTGCATCAGCAGTGCTGTGTCTGTCACCCTGCCAGCCCCCAGATCAGCTTCTCTGATTGGTTGATGTGGCGCATCAAGCAGCAAAAGTTACATTTTTCTAACTCTAGCAGCTGCTGCTTCTAAAGCGTGTCACACGCCTCAGATGCTCAGAAGCTCGTGAGGTGTTTCTCCTGCTGATCAAAACGCGCTGCGGAACCTTTCGATGTGCCTTGATGTGTGTCAACCATTGGTTTTGCATGTAAACTAACTGCTTCTGCTACCTCTGCTGCTTGCGGTCTGAAAGTAGCAAATTTTTGCTGTCCAAAGCGTGAGCAGTTTGAACGCAGCATAACATTAGCTGCCAGTATATTGTTTCATTTGCAGCCCTGTGTTAAAAAAAACAACAACATGACTTACGGTGCACATTAAGGGTGACGGTTGTGCTCTTCCCAGATGGAGCAGCCAGGTTTGTGGCCACACAGCTGTAGTTCCTCCCAGTGTCTGTGTCAATGGGATGGATGGGAAGCAGGCTCCGTGTCGTCACCCTCTTCCTGTCTGAAAGCACTTCCTGGGAGGAGGCAAAAGAAAAAGAATTCAAAACTCTTGGGGAAATGCTGACTAGTTTTATGTCTTAAATGAAAGGTGATTGAAACTCACTGTGGTGCTGACAGCTCCCTCTACAGGCAGACCGTCTTTAAGCCACTCCACCATTGAGGGAGGTTTAGCTCCACGAGACACACATGTGAGGTTGTATGACTCCCCCGCGGTGAGCAATACCTCCGGTCCTCCATCGATAACGGGATCATCCGGAGGGACTAGTGAGGCGGACAGAGAGAGGGGCAGGCCGGTTAGAAACCCAAACAGAACAGCAAAGCGACATATGGAAGTGAAACGTACTGAGGACGGTGAGTTTGGCCCTTCTGGATCTCAGAGCAGCATCAGGCGCCTGGCACTCATACAGGGCATCGTCGGATAGATCGGCAGAAAGGATCTCCAGGTTGTACTGACCCAGCTCCTGGACTCGCAGCACACGGTACCTGGGCCAGGCTACAGACACACAGAGATTTTTAACAAGAGCAATAACTTCTAGAAAGAAATCATATATCCCTCTAAAACCAGAATAGGTTTGATATCATATTTAGCTGTTTCTTGTTCTGCCGCTGGCTGCTGCATCATTTTGCATCTCATATATAAATTAATCTAACCCTTCAAGTCCCTACAACCAAAGAGTAACCTGCCTAAGGCTCCTCAGACACCATGCCGCTTTGTTCTGCTTCCACTGATTAGGAAACATCAGATCTGTGTCACGACTGCCGCTTTAATCTCTCTCTTTTAGCATCTGCCTAAAGGACACCAGAGATACGCGTGGCCTCATGACATTCGACAAAGTTGCACAAAAATAAGCACATGCACTCATGCAGAAACACACACAGCGTGTCCCTTCCCCCATCCAACGGCAGGTCCAGCTGTGCAACTGCTCTGCATTCTCGCCATCAGGTGGCGTTCCTGCTCTCCACTAGCATCAGGTAAGTGAGGGGTAAAGCATTATGACAGGAGCGTTTTATAGGACAAAAATCGACTTCAGTCCACAGTGCAGAACTTGTTTGAATTTGTCGCCCAGATCGCCACATGAACCTCTCTGTTGCTTGTTTACGTGAGCAGCCTCCTGACAGCACCATTCGCCCAAACCTCCTGTCTCCTCGTCTCTGGCTGCATTTGAGCATGCCGCCTTTTATATGCATGCATTTGCATGCAGAGTGTCGCATGCATGGGAGCGTGCAGGGACAGAGGGCATGTGTTCATTCACGTTTTCACAAAGCTCTTCTTTTGAGCTTACAGCCGTTACAGTAATAACAAGATTAAACCTTAGTGATAGAAAACAGAGAAAGGAGAGGCAGCAGGAGAGAAGGAAGGGATGAAAAAGAGGAGTACGAGATTTAAAAGTGAGGACTGATGAGTGACAGGACGGACAAGTTAAAAGAAGAACCGGAGAGGGCTCAGTGCAACAAAGGCAGCAAAAGAACGAGAGCAGCGGGGACAGAGAGGAACAGGGGATCTAAGAGGAGGAGGTCACACAGGAATAGCATGACAGACAGAGGAGAGGAGAGAGTCCCAAATTCTAGTATACAGAGCTTCATAGAGATGAGGTGATGTAGAGAAGAAAGAAAGGAGAACAAAACTGCAGTAGACATAGAGACAACAACAACAAATACGAAGCAACCACATATCACTAAGAGTGAAACCTCTCTTTGGGACTATCAGTCACACATCTGGCCACATGTTTTGATCTGTAACTGCGCAACCCCCTCTGTTTGAAACCAGTGTTGTAACTCAAATGAATCACTTAGCTGGAGTTTTGCCCAAGTCATACAAAATCAAAGTGGAAAATCGCCAGGGCGAAAAAAAAAAAGAAAGAAAGGAAAGAAAACGCTCGGAGAGAGAACAACGGAGCTGCTGCATGGCCACATGAGTTCAGCAACATATAGCCCTGAACGAACACCGGACATTAACCGGTATTAGCCAACCCCCTCAGCTAGCAGCAGTGGCTGGTCTGACAGAGGCGATGACGTGATGCAGCTGAGCCAAGCTGACAGTCTGCAAACGCTGCCGGAGGGAGCAGAGAAAATTCCCACTGAGTGCTGAAGCTGGGCAAATTTAGCATCCAGCTAAAAATGTGCACATTTTGACACAATGGGATGAGGGGTGGGGTTATCGTCATTAAAAACGTCTGTTAGATTATCCTAACATGAATGTAGCTTTTCTTATACCAGCCAGCAATAGCACCAGTGTCATCAGCGTATATAACACTTGTAAAAGTATTCAAACCCCCTCAACATGGACTTATATCTATATTATATTCATCTATTAGTAAGATTCTGTTTATATTGGTATTCATCTCTATACTTATTCAGTAGAACCCATGCCCTGTATTTATAGAACCATTATTTATCATGCACTTGCTGCTATTGCACTTCTGGTTAGACCTAAACTGCATTTCGTTGCCTTGTACCTGTACCTGTGCAATGACAATAAAGTTGAATCTAATCTAATGTAGGTCCATCACTGTTGCAAAAAGCAACAGTGATGAACTGTTTTTATTTATATCTGTCTCGCAAAAGGTTTGGTTTGGCCTCCTGCTGAGCAACTGGGACACATTTGCTGTGTGCCTCTAACAGCTTGTGGGGCCATGTATGGCTTACTTTCAACCGCTGCCTTCTCCATAACGATTACAGAAAACAGAAACGATCTTATTCGGTTTAGTAAACAAGTATATTATTGAATCCTTTCAAAAAGTGGAAAACAATCCACTGGACTTTGTTTCCAAGTTTGAAGACGTTTCGCTTCCCATCCAGGAGGCCTTTTCAATTCAAAATGTCAGACAAAGCGTTGAGTTCGAGACTTTATAGAGTAGCCTAACAAAGCCTTGTTTTTGTTTAGGAAACATGCATATTGAAACTGACAAAACGTCAAAACTTTTTTAAATGGGTGTTGTTTGGCTTCTTTTGTGACCCTTCAATGCCCCATACCCGTCTAAGTATCTTAATGAGCGCGTTCACGAGTCTACGGAAACCGCGGCAGACCAAACCAGACGAAAGTGCGCATTCAGCGTCTGCTCTGCCGATAATGCAAGCGTAGAAGAAGAAATGTGCTGTTTACCTGTGCAAAGAAAGAAACAACGAAAGAAAAATGTCTGAGGACTTCA